CAGCCTGGCCTCAGTGACAGATAAATGTCTATTAAAATAAATCCTGACTAGAAAGCATTAATTTGAGTAACACAGTTGCTGTTCTGCCACCCAGATATTTTCCCAGAACTGAACTTGGGAAAGATGAGCTTTTTCAGAGAGCCCACTGAGAAGGTACTTTCCTGGACTCAGACACAGTGATCAGCAGAGATATTGATCGTGCTGTCTCTGCAGCAACAACAGGAATTATCCATTGATTTCTCTGGAGACTGGATTACGTATTGATTATGTGAGCTGCAAAGCAGAGAACTAAGTAATGCTATCATGTCTGGCTAAAATGGTGCTCGTAGAGTAGTGAAGTCAATAGAAAGGGGAGATGAGAAATCCATTGAGGCAAAGGGCAAAGTCCCAGGGTAATTAATTAAATGGCAAAATTCTCCTGGCTCAAGTGATGCTAGGATTCCTACTTAAGCATTTTGTATCCTGAGAAGTCCCCTAATAGGAGCTCAAAGGATGCAGTGAATAACGCTTTGAGCAAGTAAATAATTCCAGCCCATCCCGAGTCCATGTAGCACACTGTGGAGAGACAGACACCTCATTCATTGCTTACTTCAATTGGGTCATTAATGAAATGCATAGAGTTTAGAAAAATTTGAAAACTAGCTGTGGAGATAACTCTTGGACCAAGCCTGAAGGGGCCATCCACTGCAGCCAGTGAAAAGAGATATGTGGTGGCCTTTTATCAGCAAGATAATAAGCTTAAAGGGGGACAGAGAGGACTTGCTGGATATAAGTGACATAAGCTGAATTTGTTGGAGAAAGATAACAATGTAGGAAACAGCCCCTGAAGGCTCACCTTTCAAAAGACAGAGCCTCTGTCTTGCATTAAACTCTGCAGATTGCTTTACAGAAGCTTAATCTTTCTATCTTCCACTGCTTCCCCTAGAGTGGCATTCAGCTTTTGTTCTGGCCATCCCAAAAACTAATTATAACATGTTCCCTAGGAGGCATTTAGTAAAACTAAACAGGTAGAGGAAGAGGTCTTAGGACTTGAATCCAATTCTTGGTATGGTATGACCTGCTGGATTCAGCCAGAATCATTAAGGAGTGATAGATGAAGCTTCACTGATCAGCAAAGATGACTCACCCAGAAGAACAAGTGCTGAAGTTAGCACTTATTTTGTGGGTGGAAATAGGAAGGAGGGGAAGAAATCTCAAGGAGAGAGGCAAAGGTCCTTGCTGTCAAGATCAAAGCAATGGCCAAAAGGAAACTACTCTGATGGTGCACAGAGATGGGAGAGGTGTCTGAGCAGGAGCCTGGCTCAGCCACGTGGCCTGGCCCAGCAGAAAGCCTCATGTGTAATTTTAATTTCATCTCACCCATCTTATGGAGACGTTTTCTTCTCCATAAACAACTGGTTTGAGAGAAGGGCACATTTTAGCCAGTAGACAAGTGGAAGGCCAGGCACTGCTGATCAGCCAGAGGCTCTTTCAAGGGACTTTTCCCTCCCTTCCTTATCCTATAATTGTTCATAAAAACAAAGACATAATTTTGTTTACCCAAATCCCCACTGATAGCCTTAGACTGGTGTAAGGAGGTTATTGCTGTGCCCAGCTAACCTCTTGCAGCAAAGAAAGTGCAAACATGGCCTTTATTCTGTGCATTTCCTGGAGGAAAGGGTACTGGACAGGAATTCAGATAAGAAAATTCATGTTGTTGCTGTTCTTCGTATTCTGTGAAGTATTTTAATGGGGATAACAATACACATTAGACATCCTGTTCAGTAACATTTTTAGTACCCAGCTGAGTCCAAATATAAACTATAATGGCATATGGAGACTGTCTTAAGAGCCATTTCAAATCAATTTAGTTTTATATAGTGTCTCTTCAAGTCTCTCAAGGTGATTTACAGTGAAAAAGCAAATAGTGGGATAGTGATTTAGTAGAGTAAGGCATGGCAGCTGTCAGGCAGGAAGGAAAAAATGCTGCATGGAGACGTAAAAGTCTAATTTAAAAGCAGTACAAAGGTAAATATATCTCTTTGCTCTTCCAGTACAAGAAGCAGTCAGGTAATGAAGCCAGGTTGGGTTCAGTTTAATTCAACAGTTCAATGGAGCCATTTACAGACGGAAATGGACCTAAAACTGAACCTTTTCCACTCAACTGCTGAGATTAGGAAAAAAACAGGGAAGAAATATTTGTGACCAATTCATTTTACCATCATATTTCACAACCTCAGAAATTTCAGACTTCCTGTGGCTTGGACTTCTGCCCTAGGGGCTTATGAAGTCAAGAAGGCAGCTTTAAGTGTCTTTTTCATGGAAATTGTTAAAGCCTTTTTTAAAGAAGCAAGATTCTAGTCAAGAAACCTTGACCTGGCTGGTGTGACAAGCATTGTGCTGCTCCTGTGCACGGAGGAGGAATAATTCTTCAGAGAATGTTTCCCTCTGCTACAGGACACCCTTCCTGTGGGTTTTTGCCCTCCTGCTCACCCCTCAAGGGAAGCTGCTACAGAAGCCATGAAAACACTCATATTTTGGTGTTCCTAGTTGAGGATCACATTACATCCTTACATTGGTGTAAGTGCTCAGGGAAGCTGCTACAGAAGCCATGAAAACACTCATATTTTGGTGTTCCTAGTGTGAGGATCACATGTGCTTCTTACATTTCCCTCCCACCAAAGAGCTCAGAATGGGCTGTTGGATGTGACCATTTCAGCAAACTTCAGGCAAGAGAGAGGGAATGCTACTGACTTCCAGGGACCTGAGTACACAGGATCCTGGGACAGCTCAGCATGGAAGGGACCTTGGAAGACTTCGTGGGGAAGGGAGCCTAGATGAGATGATCCAGTGCCCAACAGCATCTTGAAAACCTCCAGTGATGAGGACTCCACCACATCCTTAGGGAGGTTGTTCCCATGTTTCCCTCTCTTCTTTGAGAGGCCTAAACCACCCATATTTCCTTCCACCTAAACCACCCACATTTCCTTCCACCTAAGCCAGCCCTGTTTCCTTCCACCTAAACCACCTGTTTGCTTCCATGTAAACCACCCACATTTCCTTCCACGCAGCATGGAAGGGACCTTGGAAGACTTCGTGGGGAAGGGAGCCTAGATGAGATGATCCAGTGCCCAACAGCATCAGCACAGTCTACCTTGCCTCTAGGAAGAATTTTCTGCTATGCAGGGTTTCCACATCCCTCTGGGAAGAAGCAGAAGTTTCTCATTAAGGAACAAAAGTGCAGCAAGACCAATGCAGACATGAAAGCACCACCAGCAGGGAGGCAGTTTTAGATTACAAGTGAAGGAGAGTAGCTCTGTGTTTCACAGGATCACAAAAAGGGTGATGTTGGAAGGGACCACTGGAGGTCATCCAGTTTCCTTCTGCTCAGAGTTGTTAAGGTAACTTGCAAATACCAGAAAAGTCTCAGGACAGACTGTAAATATGCTGTGCCAATTTTACATACTGAGAAACCAGGTACACAGGTCAAATAAGAAGTCCAGGGCACGACAGAGAATGGAAACTCCAGCCCTGGAGTCCCAGTATTTTTCCTTCCTGTAACACCACCGTTCTTTGTTGATGAGGAAGCAGCAGTTTTCAGCTTGGTCTTCATTGCACATTCACTAAATTATTCCATGTGCTTCTGGCTGCACCATGGATGGCAGGAGAGCCAATGGACAGCACTGAAAGGCTTTTGGAAACCTGCAGCAAGACTGGCTGAAGTGAAGCAATGCTTTTCTCCCCTCACTTTACTAGCTCTGCTATCAGCAAAATGCCTTTCTCCCTTTCCAGATGGGAGCTGGAGCAGTGGGAAATATTTTCCCTCGGAGTTTGTTGCTCTGTTGACAGGAATTTTAAGACAAAAGGTCATTTTGGTGGATTTAAAAAGCAGTGGAACTTCATGCCCCTAATGAATGGGCAGCAGGAACTCATACTGGCAGTGCTCAATGGCTGCACATGAAACTAGCCAGGCTCAGTAAATGAAACCAGATCCCAAAATGCAGCCTGAGATAACTGAAAGTATGCATCAAAGTTTATTGTAGGAAAATGACTGAGTGGAAAAAGAGTGGTCTGCTCTGCCCCTGCACCTCCAAAACATATTGTACCATTTAAACCCTCTAGAAAGACATCTGCCAAAAATGTGATTAATTCTCCTGAAGGGCATGTGCATTACTTTTGTAAAACAGTTGAAGCAGCAACTGCACGTCTTTGATTACTCTTACGAAAGCAACTTAGGAAAAATCCTAGGATTGCTCTTGTGTTTGAAGCTGGATGTTTACTGCTTACTGGCAGTGACTTGTGTAGCAAAGGTGAAATGTGGTCAGGAAATGGTTGTAACCCCCCAAAAGGGTGAGTCCCAGAGCAGCCTGTCCCAAATTCCAGCAGCACATCCTGTGTCTCTGTTTGGAGTGCCACCCTGTGGACTGCTGCTCCCATGAGCTCCTCTCCTTCCCACAACACTCAGGACACACCTTGGGCACACGGATGGGTGACAGCACCTCTGACCTCCCAACCCCACTGTCCCTGTCAGTCCTGTGTGTCCCTGCCCAGCCTGGGGAAAACGGGGCTGGGGGAGAAATGGGAATTTCTGTACCAAAAAACAGTCTCTGTTATGAAAGACCATTTTTACCTGTGCTTTCTACACAACAGAATATGAAATGCCACCACCACTTCTGAGCTGGATAGGAAATAATTGGGGCATCTGTTGGTAACAGCTGAGTGTCTTGCATTACACCCCCAATGCAGAGCTTTGTACACTGAGAAGAGACCAGAGAAGCCCTCTGCTCATCCACAGAAGAATTAAGCCCCTGGTAAGTCAAGTTCATCCTTGGAAGTCAATTTCTGGATTGCATTATAATTTTTTTTCTCTCCGAATGTTTGTGCAAGACTTGCAGGTTTATTCACTGGAGATTGCCACCATAAATTTTAGGAGTCTGGCTCACAAAGCCTGTAACAACCTTGTTTAGTAAAGGTGTGCCTTGCAGCATTCCTGCAGTAATGCCACTTTGGCTGCCCCTTACCTCTGGGGTGAGGTATTTCATCATGATTTCCTTTCCTTTCTCTCCCAGCTTTTCATCTGGAGCAATTTCATATTCTGCCTGGAACAGACATACAAAAAATAAAAGTCAATATTTGCACTCATATTTCACCATTATAACTTCATTTTGGATGTGGCCTTAACAGAACACTCTGTATGAAAAATTTGAAGGAGAAATATCATTTTCTGGTGGAATCAAAACCTGTACACACAATCTTATTAAAATCCTTCCACTATATTTTGACCAGACCCTAGCGGTGCATCTTCTGGGGCTTTGTCTCTTAATTAACACCAATACCATTTAACCATTTAATTAATTTATATTTCATAACCTTGCAAAGCCAGCTTTCAGAAAGCATTTACTGACAAGAGAGATCAACTTCATTTGGTTTTGCTCGAAAGGAAGGTGGACACAGAAGGTAAAAATATTTCTCTGAGTGGTAGAGAAAGTGAATAATTGTTAACCCTTGCCACAGTGCTGTTTCAAGTGCCAGGTGAATACATATATATATATAGATATTATTCAATATGTTGTCTTTTTTGTTTAATGTGTCTTTTCTATGTATTTATGCCTTGACCTTGGTCTAACAATACCTGTGCAAAGCAGAGAGACCTGCCCATCACTATTAGTGACCCTTGGCTCAGTCCCCCCTGATTTCTCAGGCAGATTTTTGAGGCCAAGAGGAAAGAAGAGAGACCACTTAGAGGAATAGACACCATGAGCAAAATTCTCTTTGGCTTCCCTACTGCACTAAAAAAGGGAGCACCCCAACCTCACACACAAAGTCTACCTACATTTTAAAATTCTGACTGCTCTAGGTATTGAAGCATTACTGACTTCTGATGAGCTTTGTTTACATTAGAAATAAAAGAAGCACAATGTGTGTACCATGAAGATATGAATCACTTCAGCTAAAGTTTTGGATCCATGGAAGGCTTTTGAAGGAAACATGTGCTGCAGGGCACCTCAGGGGCTAAAATGACATGTTATCTTAGGGACATTCCTGCTTGGCACTGCTTGGAATATGAAGCTTTAGCCTTCAGGTCAAAATATTTTCCAGAATTAAATAAAATAATAATAAAAAAAGAAGACGACAGCCTAACAGCTTTCATGGCTGTATTTAAAAAAGGATCCCAGAAAATCCTGCCAAGCCAATTAAATAACCTGGTCCAATACAAGCTGTCTGTGATGATAAATGAGGAGGAAGCTTAAAAAAAAAAAAAAAAAAAGGAAAATCAGACTGAACTGGCAAACACTTAGAAGAAGAAATTTCAGAACTATTGCCCACTGGAAGATGTATGTACTGCTCCAGGCTGGATGCAATAAATCTGCAGGCTGGCTGTAATGGATAGCCCAGCTAAGCAAACCTAGGAATGACATGGAAACCACAATGTAGTAATAATGCTATTCCCCTTCTATCTGGCCAGTGCTCATTTAGCTATTGCAGCTCAAGTCTGGAGCTGCATATTTACACACAGGCAAGGCAGGTTGCTTAAACAATCTGGAATTATGATCTGATTTGGTTTGAGAAATGACAATGGCCGTAAATAAAAATTATGAAAAAACAACCAAAAACTAAAATCCACAAGTACAGTACTTCTTTTTAAGTGACAGTTTTGGTGATGAAACTGATTAGGTTCTCATAAAACTTAATTCAAGAGTTTGAAAAAAATCTTTTATCTAATTTCCTGTCCTTTTAGATGGTATCTGAGTATGGGTCATTTCAGCTCTTAAAGTACAGAAACTCTGAAATGCTTAGAGCATCTTAGCAGCATTTTTCTCCATGATTTCTCTCTCCTTCATTTGCTTTCAAACTCTGATAATATATTGTCTCCCTAGCAAATAAAACCTGATTATAAGTCATCATCTCCTATTTGAAGTGCACCAGGAGAGCTGTTGAAAAACTTGCTGTCCTTTTTGCCACACATAACCTCTAACAGTTGCATCCCATCTGAACTGTACAACAGGAAACAAACCAGGACAGACCAGAAGACAGAAACTCAGCAAGAACTGGATGTCTTGAAATGCAATTCCTGATGGGATCCAACATATGCAGAGCTAAATGCACATATATACAGAGGATCTTGTTCTGCCTCAAGATAGACAGCAAAGAATAAAAGGAAGGTTTAATTACGCTTGCATTTGACATTCCAAGGAAATGTGACATGGCGGTGGCGAAGGTGGGAAGTGACAGACAAGTGAGGATGTGACAAGGAACCATAAGCTCCAACTGTGCACAGTGTTGATTTCACTGTAGGTCTGCACTAGAAGCCTGTTCCATTTTGTTCCTAAGTTCATTATTATTTCTCCCTTCGGTGCCATTTTTGAGCTGCCAGCAACAGACCCTGGAGCATTTTCAGCCATGACCTGTTATTACAGCAGATAGACAGGGATGTCCCCATGCTCTCTCTGCCACCTGCCTGGGAAGCCACCAAGGTCCTCAACTCCTGGTCTTGTGCTTAAATCACAAGATACCTCCCTTTCTTTCCCAATACTCAAAAGCACTGCTACAGTTTGCAAATCCCTAATTGCTAGAAATAACATCATTTCTTAAAATCCGTGTGGAACAAAATATTTTCCATTATTCCTTTGATGAATCCAGGCATGTGTTTCAAGGCTCCTGCTCTGAAGTCTAATAGCTTCTCCATGCCCTAGTTAGGTCAGACAGGGCCCTATTCATAGCCCATAAACGAGGGGAGGATTTACGATCACCCTGACTCCGTGGGACAAGCTGCAGGGAAGGCTCTTTCTGTGGGCAGGCAGAGATCCTTCAGCCCAAATGGGGAGAGGATGTGGGCTGGCCACTGTCTGCTGCTAGCTTTTCTTCTGGCTGCTCTTTTGGAGGTGGTGGTTATGTTGGTGGCTCCTTCTTCCATAGAGGCAGCCGTGGCTGGATGGAGGAATGGGAGTGCAAAGTGGCCTTCCCCTTGGAGCAGCTGTCCTCAGGATGGGCTGAGAGATCAGATGGAAAAATGCTCTTCAGCTGGGAAAGAGAGCAACATCTAGCCTGTGGCTGGCTGTGGGATGGGACCATGGGCTCAGGGACAGCTCAGGTTTGGGGGCTGGAGGCTGCCTGTGATGGATGGAGAGCTACCAGGGCAAACACACAGGGAACCCACAGGAGCTCACATTGATTCTGACACAGCAATTTCTGTAGTATCTGCTTTTCACCTTAATGTTTGAGCTCCTGAAACTGCATGGCCAAAAATATGTGAAAATGGAAAAACATATCCAAAGAGATCTCTCTGCAGATCTGGGAGGATGCTCTCCCACAGCAGGCAGCTGATGGTTGCCTGCGGCAGCATGGCATGGCTGAGGGAATCATCACCCCTTGTACCCACCAGAAGATGGAGATGGGAACAGACACTCCCACCAGAGCAGTTTTGGCTTCTTGGTAAAAGTCAGGAACAGTGGAATCACCTTTTGAGCATCTGCAGGAGGTTATGGCATTTCAGTCCCAATTTTTCACCTCTACTTTCTCAGCTCCCTCCTCTGTTATCTGAGAATATCTCTCTGCTCAGTCTTTTCTCAGACTCCAGCCTCTGCCCTGTTATTGCTCTGTCCTCAGTGCCTGTCCTTGCACTTGCCTCTGCTGGAGATTTAAAATCTGTGACTAAAAATTGGAAGGCAAACCTCAAACAGCTGGGATTCATAATAACTTGCATTTCTAAATGAAAAGTGAACTTGAAGCCATATTTTTCATTTTTAAAGGCAGGGCAGAAAGAGCCCTTTCAACTGTTTGAAAACACACTTTGAGTTAATGAGTTTGCTGATACCAACAAACTGGCATTTCTGATGGGAAAAGCCTTGAACAGCTTTAAGACACACATACACAGATGGTTTATATACCACAAAAGGGACTTAACCAAATGAAATCTCCCTAACAGCAAGACAGGGTTTTTACAAATGGCATTAAATGGATGCTCAGTCATCCTTTCACCCCAGGTAAGTGCCATGTCTAGTGAAGCATTCAGCTGAAAAGTCCACCCCAGGAGATTGTGCCTCTCACCCTGGCCCCTGAGCCCAGATATCACAAGCAGAAACAGCCTGGAGCAGGGCTATTTTCCTCCAGAAGATGCATTTTTGTGTGACTTCAGTGCAAAAAAAGTAACCTTGTTCACATTAGAGAGAATAATGACCAAAATTGTCCACATTCTCCTCCAGTCAGCCTAAATCTGGCCCACATTAAATTGTTAAAAGCCCTCCCTTGGTAAAAAGACATTATGAATGCGAGTAGATGAGCAGGAAAGGGAGTCCAGAAGCTAAAGCCTTCATTTTAATGACACATAAAATCACAGCAGAAGGAAATGTCAGGTGCTGGCTCCCTGGGAATGTGCTGATGAGAAGGGGACAGGAGCAAGAGGTCCCTGCTGAACTGAACTGCCCCCTTCTTGTGCTGGAGGCACTGGCTGTGGAGAAGCAAACACGTCTTGCTAGCCCCTTGCCTACTCACTGATCTGCCTTTTAGCACAGGAAACATTTCCCCTCACACTTTATTTTAATGGCTCTCTTTCAACAGCTCCGAAGTCGATGTTGCTAAAATATTTGTAAGCAGAGCAAAGTGTGCTTCAGGGCTGTGCGTGATCCCTTGGGTAAGGGCTTCAAGGGGAGCCCATTTAATCACAGACCATCTCCACCTAATGATAACAGTTTATGTTCACACAGTTCCACCATCTGAAGGGCTACACCAGGCTTTGCTGAGCCGTTCTGTGGTTCCAAGCACCCAGACGAGCACGCGATGCCTCCAGAGCCCGTGGGAGCTCGGTGGATATTTTATCTCAGCCATCAGGACCTCTGTCATGAGTTTGTTTGCACAATATCTGCAGCAAGAGATGGCTGTCTGTCCTTACAGCCCTCGTGCCAGCTGGGAGAAGGGGTTGCTGTTGCTCCATTTCCCAGACAGACAGACAGACAGACACACTGACAGGCACTCACTGGTCCCACAGCAGCAGTGGGAAGCAAACACCCACAGCTCCACCAGTGCTGCGCTGCAGAGCTCTGCCTCTCTTTGTTCTTATCACTGTTATCATCTAACGTTGGGGCCTGCTGCTTACAAACCACATGTCGTGTCAGTCTGGGCTACAATCGATTGTGACTGATTACCCAAACACCGCTCGCACAAAACATGGAGAGACTTTATGCCTCTGAGCGCTTTCGTCTCAATTACTGGTTGAAATTGGCCAAGGTATTCACAGGTCTCAGAGGGAGCTGACAGCTACACACCTACATGCATGCACAATTCAGTGATACAAATCCTTTTTCTTCAGAAGGCAGCTTAACAACTCCTTAACAGAAAAAAAAAAAAATCCCCAAATCCTGCCATAATTACATTTGCAGGAGACTGCATCAGACCATGTTAGTTATTTCACACAACAGCTGACATAAATGTCCAGTCAAGAGAGGATTTTTTTTGTCTCTTTACATATTCTGGTCTGCAAGGTCTGGATGATTCCACCAGCCTTTGGAAGCAAAGGTGTGAGAGAGCTTAGACTCTCACAAGGATGTTGATAGGTTGTTAAATGTCTGACTCAGCTTCTGGGTTTCTCCCAGAAGCCTCAGTCACTTCTTTCCTTGCAGACAGTTGAGTGCATGAGTTGAAAAACTGTATAAAATATTGGGAGGCATCAAGTATTGGCTTCTGCCAGTGACTAACTGTGTCACTTAGATGGGCACTGAAAAAGAGAGATGATCCTCCCATTCAATGTGCAAAAAGCTCTGTGAGTCCCTCAAGAATAGCTAAATATGATCCCCTTTTATCTTTTCCCTTTATTTGACATTACACAAAAGGTAATTTTTGCATCTCATGTTAGAAAAATAACTAAGACAAAAGAAAATGAAGGCACTTGGCTTTTCCTGCTTGTTACAGCAGGTGGTCTAGAAAATGTTTCCCATTCCTGGTGGTCTCAGATTAGGGCTGTAAAGTCAGACTCCTGGTCTCATTTATAGGGCTTTTTTTTGCCTACCATAGGGCTTGGCTTGAATCCCACTACTCACTAAACACAGCGTGACCCTGCTGGGCAAATTTCAGTAGCAATCATCCAATTTAATGGCAAAGGGCTGTGTTGCTTGACCTTAATTTAGGGATTTTCATGGGCTGGGAGCAAGCTTATACAGAATTTGAAATCAATAAACAAATGAGATTGCTGTTAATTAGTGTTAAAAAGAAGCGAGAAAGATAAGGATTCAGACCTCCAGCCAGACTGGCATTTTGTTTATCAAATCCTCACAGTGCCAGTCTGAGCCTAACTGGGAACAGACCAGTGGCCCAGTCAAGGTACCCAGGGCAGCTCCAGCCTGCAAAAACAAGTTGGGCTGGGTGAAAAACAAAAGGATTTGGGAATCAGCTTGGGATTGCTTGGAGACACACCTTTAAAATAAAGCCAGTGCCACCAGGTCTTGTATTTGCAGGGTTCCCAGACAAAGGAAGGAATGATGTATCTGACTCCATGTTCTTAGAAGGCTAATTCATTATTTTATGATCTATAATATATTAAAGAATACTATACTAAAGAATACAGAAAGGATACAGACAGAAGGCTAAAAGAATACTAATGAAAAACTCGTGTCTCTCTCTTCAGAGTCCAACACAGCTTGGCCCCAATCGGCCAATAAGTCAAAATAATTCACAGCAGAAACCAATGAAACAATCACCTGTGGGTAAACAATGTCCAACCACTTTCCAAAGCAGCAAAACACAGGAGAAGCAAATCAGATAATATTGTTTTCCTTTTTCTCTGAGGCTTCTCAGCTTCCCAGGAGAGAAATCCTGGGCAAGGGGATTTTTCCAGAATACATGACTGTGACAACCAGGAGCTTTTGCAGGAGCAGTGGGTGACACAGTGCCCTCAATCCCCAGAGCCAGCAGCAGGCTGGGCAGCACTGCAGCCACGGCTGGCACACGGGGCCCTGGGGTGCTGGACAGATGTTTCCCCGTGCCCAGATGTTGTTCCTGCTGTCAGTGGTGTGCCCTGAGTGCAGGCAGGGCTCACACACCGGGGGATTCCCCTCTGCAGCCCCTGGGAGCTGCTGGGACCAAAATGTGCTGCCTGCAGCTGCAGGGAGGAGAGAGAACAGAGCTGCTGAGCCCCTCCAAACTGAGCACGGCTCTGCCTGAGATTAAAGCACTTACAAGCTGTCTTCTGTGAGGTTTCAGTTGTTGGTTTCTCTGGGTCTGGATTGAAGGCACTTGAGACAGTAGTTCGTGTTATGACTCAGGTGTTTATTATTTCTTATCAGTAAACCAGCCTCACTACTGTGAGTTCAGCAGCTTTTCATTAGAAGGCACAAAATGGCCAACAACCTCTTGTTACAAGGCCTTTTAAGACTAAACTATCCAATTAAGAACTGACACCTGGATTATTTTCCCTTTTAGCCCAAAGAGCAATGTGGACTTTTCTGCCCAATTACAAAATGCCACCCAAACCCATGAAGAAGGAGGAAGAAGAAGCATGAAGAAGAAATCCAGGATGACACCCTGTGCTCTCCATCTTGCTTCCATCCACAACACACTGAAAATCCCAAACCCTAAATTTCTCAGCAAGTGATGCACCTATGGTGCTCTCTATAATATATTTCACACTTTTGTGGATTCCAGTCTATCTTGAAGTCCAGGAAACTTTCTCCATGACTGAGGGTCAATGTCATTGCTCCCCTGGGGGTCAGGGCACCCCAGAGCAGACGGAGAAATATTCCCGGTGCCTTGGGCTTCCACACCCTGTGGCTGCCTTCCCAGGGATTCCTGCAGAAATTGCCATCTCCTAGGGGCTGCAGGTGGCACAGCTGGGGTGCCTCCCCCCAGAGGGGTGTGTGGTGTTTCATCAGTGGCAGACACCTCACTGGACAACGCTGGTCCAGCGCAGGACAAACACATTCAGGGTACCCAAAGTGTCCTGCTGCCTGCTGGCCTTGAGCACAGCTGCACAGAGTGTTTGTCAGATGTCTCATGTACCTTGATGATGACACTTTTCACCAGAGAAAATCACAAGCAGGAATAACAGGTGGAAGTCATGACCAGCTGAAACTGATTCAGATATGACTTTATCCATCACTTTCTGTGATGCTGTAGGTTTCCTGTTGTTACTGCAGGAGTAACATAAACCTTAAGAGACCACATGTCCTCTCCAGACTGTTACTTTTACAGCTTCAGTGCAATCCTCACATTTCTCTATACTTCAGAGTAGCTTCATCATGTTGCAAACAAAACAATTTTATTCCTGTTGGTATGCATTGTTCTGCTTCTGACTGTCAGTGTTAGCCAGGGAGAGAGACCCTGTGGGCACTCACCAGTGACAAATTCATCTTGCTCTTTGGTACCATTTCACCTTTTGGCTGATCAACACCCTCCCCTTCCCCAGGTTCCCAGCAAAAGAAGTCACTGAGAGACTTTTCCACTGTGAACAGCTGGCAGGACACATGGCCAAGTGCTGCCAGACTGGGAAAGAGCGTCAGGTCCCCCAGGGCTTGGGGGTGATGCTCAGTGGCTGGGTTAACTGATGGCTCACTGGGGTGGAAAATGGAGCAGATTTGTTTCTCAGTGACCTCAGTCAAGTTATTTATGTAGCTTGTGCTTCTGCTCTCCTATTTGAAAAAAACAGGGTGATTATCAGGGCGTCCTTTGAGAACCATCCTGAATCCTATGGATGAAAGGCCTTGTTAAGGGATAACAGGATTATTACATTCCCCATCCTCTCTTGTCAGTCCATTCTCAACTTCCCTTTCCTCCCAGTGCCTCCCAGCATGGCAAGCTTCACCCCCATCAGCAGAGATTGCTCACAGCAGCTCAGCAGCTCGGGTGTTGACATGAAGGGAGGCCACAGCAGCACTGTGGGGGTGACTGTCCCTACCCCTCTCTGCTGGCTCATGTCCCCCAGGCTGGCACCAGCCCTGCGTGTCCCTGTGCTGCCAGTGGTGCTGGGCTGCTGCTGGGACCAGCCCTGTCCCTCTCAGACACAAAATCCCACAAAACAGCGATTTCTTGGGGTCAGAGGAGTCTCCTCTTTCAGGGGAACATTGCAAAGCACCCCAAAATACCACAAGAATTGACTTACCACCGAGTCAAGGAACCTAATGCAGCACTCGAGCTCGGGCCGAGTTTCACAGAACTGCCGAAAGAGAAGCCTTCCAATGGGCTGCTTTTCACATATGCTGCAGTAATCTCTCTCTAGAGGCAATAAAGAGAAGAACAGAAGCATGAAAACGAGAACAGCTCTGCCTTTTGGGTTGCTCATGAGTTTAAAGCATTGTGAGTGAGTGCATAACTACAGCCTCAAAGCACAACCTCCTTCTCCCTGCCACCACGTTTCAGGTATCCAAATACAAATATAATTAATGGCTTTAGGACTCAAGAGAGGCTGAATTTTGTAGGGCTGATGTTGGTAAAGGTCAAGCAAAAGCCATTCAGCTATTATGAAAAAATAATTTCATATTTTTCTCTGGTGGAAATGTATGCAAAGGTGTAGCTCAGACTGGTGGTATTGGTGGGAATGTGGGGAGCAAATTACAGTCCTTGAAACATGAGTCATACATTAAAGGGCAGAAAAAGCTGGAATTTGTGGAGTCCTTCCTGGATGCTTCCTAGATATGCACTAAAGTGCCCCACATCTCTGGAAATGCTTAGCCTACTTTCTATTAAACAATTATAGTAAACTATGCATCTTCAAAGGTTTCAAAATTTCTGCTATTTAATTGCTGAGCATTAAGGAATGGATAGAGCATATGGCATCTGGCTCATTTCAGTTTAACACAGCACTCCTCACAGAACTGTATTTCCCCTTAAAAACCATGTTTAAATGCCATTCCCTTGTGCTGGTGCATCCACAACCATCACTCACAGTAAAGCAAAAGGTCCTTTGTCCCTCACAAGGACTATCAGCAGGAGAATATGGATGAAGGGCGGGCATCATTAATTGGCATGGCACCAGCACAAATGCCAAGGGCTTTGGATATTTTTCTGGTGAGAGCAGAAAATCCCCCAGCCTGCTTGGAGCAGCAATACTTGCTTGAGACACGTTATTCCTCTACAAGTACACACATGTCAAACAACATACTGTGTTTCCTTAGGCATTCTTCTCACCACCCTCCTCGCTGCCATATGGCACTTGCTGTTATTATGGAAACAACCAGCTTCTAAACACATAACACAGCACTGCAAACAGACATATCAAACCCCCACAAGTTGTCAGTGCCTTGGCTATTTCTCTCTTGGGCCTATAGTTGCTCCTGAAATGTCTTTGATTCTCCCTCTGCTTTGGCCCCCCATGTCCTTCAGCTCCTCCCACTCCATGGGTGCAGGCACATGTCTGTGATGGAGCTCTCCTTGGCCATTGAGGCACCTAGCTGAAGGAGCTGCTCATCTCAGCTGGTGCCCTGGGGACCACGTTCTGCAGAACCAGAATTGTCATAGAATCATGGAATGGTTTGGGTTGGAAGGGATCCTAAAGATCACCTAATTACACATCCCCTGCCATGGGCAGAGACACCTTCCACTATCCCAGGTTGCTCCAACCAACCTGGCCTTGGACACTTCCAGGGATGAGGCATCCACAGCTTCTATGGGCAGCCCATGCCAGGGCCTCCCCACCCTCTGGGTACATTTGTCCTGAACAGAAAATGCTGTATGAGGTGTTGGAGCTCTGCCCTGCAGCTGGGTGACAGCGGGCAGGAGCAGCCAAGGCTGCCTCTTGTCAGAGGAAGGAGGGAGCCTGCTCAGTGCAGCACCTGCTGTACCTCAGGAACTGGTTCCTGAAGCACTTCATCAGGAACTTGGTCTAGTGGTCACTAGAGGCATGGGTTGGGGATAGCTGAAATGGGCTTTTCATTCAGTGTGGTCTTGCTCTGGTCTGGTCTTCTGAAGCAGTTTGGAACAACATGCCAGCAGCGTTTTTTCGCTGGCACTGCCATTCCATTTTGGATCAGGATCTCACTCAATCTATTGAGGAAACTGCAATGTTTTGATGCTCTCTCACAAGCAAAACTGGATCAAAATCACTGTGTAAATCCTAACCTGACCTCCAGTCAATCTAATTATCGCAGCCACCCCCTGGCACTGCTTTGTTTGCCTGAGCTGGAGCCTTCAGCATGGAACATCATGGCACTGATCGGTGTGGTGGGAAAACCAGCAGGATCCCTGGGACACGGAGCAGCCTTGGGGTGTCCTTGTAGGTGCTGCCAGCTTGTGCTGCTTGACCAAGTGGCATTTTTAGTGCGTAACTGCTGAAGGGTGTGCAGGCACGTACAGCACTAAGGGAAGTGAAGGAGTCAGGAGAGTGGATCAGAACAGCCACTCAAAACATCCCAGAGGCCAGCACGATGCAGAGGCTCAGCAGCTCAGGGGAGCTCTCCTGGGAGGTGTGAAGGTTTAACTACATCTGCCTGATGCTGGTTTCTGCTACCTTGACTAACTAACTCTTGTGAGGGCATGAATAAAACATCCACCCTGAATACCAGCAGCACACAGCCTGCTGGTGGAAGGACTGAATCCCTCCAGAAGCCCAGACCCACAGCAAGCTTCCTCATGCCAAAAAAGGAATGAGACTCTTTGGATTCATAATGGAGTAAACCAGAAAGAGACAAACACAATAATCAGCTGGTTTGCCCCATATTTTCTCTTGTACAACATCATTTGATGGACAGTAATAACTGTTGTACAAAATGCAGTTAGTTTATCAAAGTTCTTATGACATGGTGACACCCAATGTAGCAGAGGATGATCTTCTACCAAACAGGCCAGTGAGAACAGGTAACTTAGTGTGCAAATTGCACATCCATAACTGTTCTTCATAGTACAGCAGGAAAAGAAAACAAGGAGCTAAACACTACGACATAAGTGGATAAACACAACATAAATAAGACATGAGCATGGACTTTTTTCCTCCTACTCTACAGAACTTGGCCAACACGTGAGAAGGAAAAAGGAAATACCAGAAATAATCTCTGAAAATGCAACAGCCAGAGCAGCTCCCTGGAGCCATCCACGCCTCCGTCATGTGCATTGAACTGCTGGATGTACCAACACAGATAAATACACGACAAAAATGCTTTCATTCCTTGTCGGTGACACAAATTATTTTCTTAGGCCCTGATCGTGCTGTTGGCCTCACTAAGTCAGCTAAAGGAATCTGCACTCAACTAATTCTTGGGATGCATGGGCCCGAAGCGGACTAAGAAAGAAAAACACGTCTCAGCTAAAGCTGAAAAAGGAGTGCATGGTTTTATTATAGCAAGAAGTGTTTTAGCAGCGTGCTGCACCCCAGAGATGGGGCTGGAGCACCCCGAGCCGTGCTCAGGAGCTGCTGCAGGATGGGGAGGCAGGCGGGCACCGCAGCCAGGGGCTCTCCTGGGCTGGGGCTGAGCCTTGTGTCGCTCTCGTTCCGCCTGCCAGTAAAAACATCCATCCAGTTTCAAAAGTTTAAAAAATAGAAGGAATGATTTCCTGAGGAAATGGAAATGTTAAACACTTGGAAGTGAAACCATATGCTTACGATGATGAAGTGTAACAAAAACAGCTCTGAGAGTGATATCTTTGGTAGTCAGACCCTCCTGCCTCAGCGCCATCCTGTTTAACACCTGCAAAGTCACCCAAAATGGGGATGAAAAGCTGGGTGGGTCAAAGTCTTGGGAAAGCAGACACTTCTCACTGACGCCAAACTCTTTATTTAGAAAATATCACTGGCAAACAACGCACACATGCAAGTGAATTCTCCATCTTCCTGACAGAGCAACAACACAGATTAATATAGAAAAGGTATTATATAAAATGCCATAATTAACATTCATAAGATAAATAAAGATAAATAATGTTTATTCATAATTCTACTGACTCATTTTTCCCTTTACTTCATAGCTTATGTATTGAAATACTAATTTCAGGAGCAGCCAGCACAAAGAACACACTGAAATAGTTGCACCTGCACACGTCATGCTGTCACTATCCAAAGCCTATGGCCAAATTTGTTCCCAAACAGATATTTTGGTAAGGTTCTGAAAAATATCTGAGCCCATGCCTAAGAAAAATATTCCTATTAACAAAATTTCATACCAGTCAAAACATTCCATTGATGAAGTGAAAAGCTCAGCACAAGGTAATAGAGTTGCTGATGTCAAAATCCCCAACTTTCAATTAAAAGGGGAGAAAATCTACTATTTTAATTACATAAAAACCTTCCTGTGCATTGTGAAGATTTTTTTTTGTCCAAATTTCTCATTTAAATACCTTTCTCTTTTTGGCTGGCTCAAAATACCACCTTTTGGAGAGAAGCAGTGGTCTGCAGAGAGACCAGGTCCCCCCTTCTCTTTCACATTTGCAATACACCTGTGCGTTTTGATGGGTTAGTGATGGACTGAAAAACTGTGTGATAACTCTTGGCTGAAAATCAGTCTTTTATGATATTCAGTGTAAACTGCAGGTGTCTAAGTAAGACTGCTATAAAAGTTGCACTTCTGCAACTCGTTCTGAAGAGCTGTAAATCCAAGCCCTGCACTCAGCTGGTGAGGCTTCCTCCTGTGGATGTCTGTGGGGAGGGATGAGCTCAGTTTAAACCTCACTTTTAAAGTCTACAAAAGCCAGGAACATCTTTTCAGCTTTTTGGTCATTTATTGGTGTGGCCAAGAATTGTATTTATGTGCTATCTGTTAAGTAACATTTTATTTTCCAGCATACTGGAATCCCAAGAGCAGATTTTCCGAAGGAATGCGTGGAGAATTGCCAAGAAGACATGCACCATGCTGCTGCATGGGAACATTTGGACTTGACCTCTGGATCCCTGCTATCCTTGGCATTAAATCAGATGAAAAATGAGTTAAGATCCAAATGCAAAGTAATTATGCTGCCTAAAAAAGCCCCCACAAAACAACAATAACAACAGAAGCCCACAAAAAAACAAACCAACAAACCAACCAACAAACAAACACCTGGAACCCTCAAAGAGGATGGAAGAAGACTTAATTGTTCATTTAATGCTCAGTGATCCAGATCAGAATTCATCTCCCCTTCCTGATTTTTCTTCTTTAAGGTGAACCAAAACCACTCAGATGCTGTTCCAAGTCCATTATTTGTCTGCTGCTCTCTCCCTCTCACCTGCTTTGTCCCAGAATAACAAAAAGCACCCCAAATTAATGGCAGAAAGCATTTGAATGCCTCAGTCCCTACACTCAAGCTGGGCA